AGTTCTATGTATTTTGTACCTTATTAAGCAGAGCAAGGGGCAGAGAAGGTGTCTTGTGGACATTGGGTATCTGTGCTAATGATATTACTTGATCAACAAAACCTTGGAGGAATGGGGGTGGAAAGAAGGGGTGAGTTTTCTGTGAGGTCAGAATAACACAAGCAAAGGCACAAAGATATAAAAAGTAGTGTTCATAACTCAGCTGGCATGGATCAGTGATTGAGCATCGACTTATGAACCAGGAGGCGATGGCTCAATGCCAGATCAGGGCACATACCCAGGTTTCGAGATCCATCCCTGGTGTGGGGCATGCAGGAGGCAGTCAATCAATGATTCTCTTCACCATTGATGTTTCTATCTCTCTTTCCCAGTCCCTTCCTCTCTGAAATCAATAAAAAAAATATTTTTAAAAAGTAGCACTCATAGAACTACAGAGATTTGAGAGGAGCTGCTGCTGCGGGTGTCAGGGAGGCACAGATGGGAGGAGCTGAGAAAGTGAGTGGGGCCCAGAGCACTCAGGGTCATGGGGGCTTTGGTGTAGAGATTAAGCTTATTGGGAAAACACTGGGTGGTATTGAAAGGTTGTTAACAAGGGAGAGACCTAATCCAATTTGTATTTTGAAAAGATCACTGTCCTGCAGGGTGGAGAATGGCTTGGAAAAAGAATAGATTTCAAAAGACCTGTTAGAGGGTCTTAGAATAATTTAGGTGCAAGATGGTGGTGGCTTGGACAAGGTGCTGGGGACACGAAGGAATTTAAGAAGTCTGAGACTTTAGGAGCCAGAATGGGAGGGTGTGCTGGCTAATGTGGGAGGTAAGAGGGGCTGGAGAGTGAAGGTGGACTCCCAGGTTTGGAGCTTGGGCAGTAATGACAGTCACTGAAACACAGAGAGCGCTGGAGAAGAATGAGTCCCGGGAGGCAGGAGAGATTAGGATGCTCTGGGTGTGAGATGCCCGAGAGACGTCCCAGAAGAGATGCTCCGTGGGCAGTTGGGTCTGAAGCTCAGAACAGAGGTCCCTGGCTTGTAATTTCCTGTGGGTGTGCCACAGCCCTCAGAGATGGGAACAGGGAGTGTGAATGGCTCTCCAGCCCCCTCCCTAGTAATAGAAGAGCTCTTCAAAGCCATAGCTCCTCATGGGAGAGTTGAGTTTTTCTCAAGGAGTTACGCACACAGAGGTCCCTCAGAAACAGTAAGAGTAGGGTGGAGAAATGCTTCAGACCTAGCTGAGTAGCCACTGGATTCAATTTTCCATCTACCAGCTTTTTCTGTTATTTTAATTTTTTTGTTAATCCTCACTGGAGAATATCCACCACCTTCCCCCCCGCCCCATTGATTATTATTATTTTTTATTATTTTTTTAATGAATGACAGTGCAGGACTCAAACTTGCACATTTTAAAATTATATTTAACTAGAGGCCCGGTGCATGAAATTTGTGCACGGGGGTTGGTGAGGTATCCCTCAGCTCAGCCTGCACCCTCTCCAATCTGGGACCCCTCGGGGGATGTCCCACTGCCAGGATCAGGCCTAAACCGGCAGTCAGACATCCCTCTCACAATCCGGGACCGTTGGCTCCTAACCACTTGCCTGCCTGCCAGCCTGATCCCTAACTGCTCTCCCCTGCAGGCCTGAACGCCCTAACTGCTCTCCCCCGGCACCTGATCCTCTTAAATGCTCTCCCCTGAGAGCCTGATCACCTATAACCCCCTCAGCCTTGGCCCCACCACCATGGCTTTGTTCAGAAGGACTTCTGGCCTAATTAGCATATTACCCTTTTATTAGTATAGATTGGTTTCAGAGAGGAAAGGAGAGGGAAAAAGAGATAGAAATATCAATGATTAGAGATTGTGCCCACAACCCGGGCATGTGCCTTGACCGGGAATGCAACTGTGGTTATAAAGCTGAGGCCACTGTATTTTGGAGTCAGCAGGAAATTACTACAGCTGAAGGCCTCTGATGTCTTCTGGTGCCTGTCCGATCCAGGCTGGATTGTGGCTATCATGGGGACCCTGTTTGAACCATGGACAGCAGGGTCTACAGTCTTCATCCATCATCTGCCCCAGTTTGACCCTAAGGTCATTGTGGAGGTAAGAGGACTAATCTCTCAGTGTCAACAAACTCCTGGAGAAACTCATGCATCAGGCGAAAAAGCTGGCCCCTCCTGAGAAGAGTGTAACAAAGAAGCCCATTAGGGTGATAGAACTTGGGCTCTGGATGTCTCAAATGTGAGGCTCTGAATCAGTCAGTGAGGCTCCCAGAATACACATTTTGAGAAATTAAAGCAACCAGGACAATCTAGGTCTCCTGGCTTCTCCAGGGCCAGGTAGCTGGTGTGTGCGTGTGAATTTATTGAAGTGTTTAAAACCAGAGCCCTTGGAATAGGATGGTTC